AACTACTTGTATAAATTACCCAATAAAAGATATGAGCAAGGCCTCACCTTAACACCAAAAAAAAAAAAAAAAAAAAATTAATATTGCTTGTATCACTGTTAATGATACCACCTATATAATCTATACAACCTATCTAACATATATAACCTATACAACCTATCTAACATATCTAACGTAACCAACAGAAATAATAGTTATGAGAGATCCAACGTATCTGACGGATCTGACATATCTGACATATCTGTCAGATATGACGATCTTTTCCGGCCCACCTTGATCGACTGCGGCAAAAAATTATTTCGTGCTACAGTTCACCCAGTTCACCCTTTCACAACGTACGTACGTACTACAGATTGTGTGACGTATCCTTTGACTGATACGTATAGTGCAAAAAATCTCGCAATCAGTAATACAAATTTCCAAAAAAAAGCCAATCAGAGAGTCCATTCCAAACACGTGTAGAAGGTGAAAAACGAGTATACTCGAAAATAGTACCTAAATCATCTTTGACACATTAATTAAAAAAGTGAATGGAATGAAATTTTGTGTCATTTTTTTTTTGTAGGTATTTGTATTACCAGCACGAATAAGCAAAAATGTGTAATACAATTTGACAAATTTTCATAATACTTAACTAGAATTGTGGAATGTTTGTGATTAAATCGATACTTAAATTTCGTTTCAGTCTCTTCGTAACTGTAACAAACAATGGCCATGTTAGTTGAACAAGACGGCTTAAAAAAAGACGGAATGGTATAACATCACACCTATTGAATTTTAGTACGAACATTATTCTTATTGTGTTATCAATTTGAATCTAGCCTTTTCAAATTACTGAAGATTTCGATCGATGTGTATGCAATGAAAGGATATGGTGTCGTTCATGTAACGCTACTCGTTTCGAGCAAGATTTTAATACATGGACATCTGGAAATAATGAGATTGATGAATTTATTAAATATACACAAATTCATGCATTGAATAATGTTTATGTGTTAGAATGGTATCCATGGGAAATGTTTTCTGATATTACAAAGATAGAAAAAGGTGGTTCTGCAACTGTTTTCCGCGCCCAGGGAAAAGTGGGAAGAATCCGAGAATGGGATCAACAAAGCAATAAGTGGCGTCGTTCTTATGATCCTAATAATTCTTACGTTGCATTGAAAATAATCGGGCATTCCAAATCGCTGCCAAAGGATTTTCTAAATGAAGTAATAAATATTATTTGCCAATTTCAGCATATAATGAAAAATTAATATATAGAAGACTTTTATTTCTCATTTTAGGTAAAGAAATTACATCGGTCCACTCGACCGATTACTGGTAAATTCTACGGATTCACAAAAGATGAGGCTAATGGAGAATATCTCCTTGTCATTTATTTTTTTATTGGTGGAGATTTGCGTAAACAATTACAGCTTTATGCAGTTACTTGGGATGAAAAAATTAAAATAATTTGTCAGATTGTATCTCATAAAGAAGGACTGATCCATAGGTGAACAAATAATACAATGATAACTCATTAGTGTTGCGGCCTAAACTGAAAGTTTTGTCCAGCAGAAGCCTTTGAAACATAGTTCGTACTATGGCCTAAACTTGGCGAAGCCTAAGAAACCTAGCGAGATTTCCGAATTCTAGAAATATGGAAAAGTAATCAAAACTGACGAATTTACATTTTACTTTTTTTAAATATATAGACTAACGATCAATAATTCAATGTTACGACTGGAAGATCATTTATGTGATCAAGTTCTACAACGAACTTCACGAAAAGCCATCACAATTTATAAAATTTTTAAATTGATATAACTTTTTAAAATAAAGATATTTATAAATTTTTGTGTACATTTAATAGCTTTATGTTTAAATTATTAAATCTACAAAAAAATTTTAAATGTCTTTTTTCGTTATTAAAAAGCTATATTTAAATTATGTGACAACCCATGTTTTTTTTCGTTTACTTATTGGCATGGGATTGTTACATCAGGCACGGATAGTTATTATATGGGTATATCAGTATATTGAATAACCAAATTACACACACGGGTTCATATTTAAATCCCGTGCTTTTAGCATGGAATATGAACCCGTGTATAACTGGGTTATTTACTACTACATACTTATAACTCATTCATTCGTAATACTAATTACTATCAGGAAAATGGTTCAAAATAATTTCATAGGCTTGAAAGTTTAAGAGGTTTCATGCCTCGCCTAGTTTAGGAGGTTTCATCCAGTTTAGAAGGTTTTTCCAAGTTTAGATGTTCGGGTGAAACATCTTGACTTTAAAAAGAGTTTAGCTAAAACACTACACCCTATTTTGATAAACTATTAAACTAATGTGATCATTTTGATTTGAAAAAGGAATCTTCACCCAGGAAACGTGCTTTGCGAGATGTCTATTTATACAATTGAAGATTTTGGATTTTCTATTTTTGAATCAGAAGCAAATGATATTAAGGACGTTATAGGTGTGATGCCTTATTTAGCACCAGAATTACTCAACGGAGGAACATATTCTAAAGCATCAGATATTTATGCTTTTGGCATGTTAATGTGGGAAATAAGCTCAGGAGAAAAGCCATTTCATGACACAGAACATGGAATTGAACTAGCACTAAAAATATGTCAAGGTTATCGTCCAGAAATTACTAAAGATACACCACTATTTTATCAGGATTTAATGCAAAAATGTTGGCATTTAGATCCCACTAAAAGACTGAATGCCATAGAATTACAGGAATTTGTAAATAATATGTATAGGAAAGAGTTTAAAGATCAACTTAAAAATGCAGAAAAGATACTTTAACAAAATGTGGGTATAAAGAAAGAGATAAAGTCACATCCCGGGGCAATTTACATAAGCCGATTGTTGACAAATGTAGCGAAAGGTGAGTATTTTCATCTTTCACAATTATTATTCGTGTCAAGTCCTTCGTAATTTATTTACATGCTCGATCACCAATGTGAATAAAACTTATCATATTTAACACCAATATGATTCTCTATTGAATATTTTTGTAATATTAAAGACACCAATATGATTCTCTATTGAATATTTTTGTAATATTAAAGCATATAAAATTATAAACTTCATTTATAATTTATATAAGCATAATTATGCACTATATACAAATAACTTTTGTTTAATTTATAGGAAAGAGTCCCCCAACAAATGCAATAAGTGGCAACAAATGTGAAGTAAATGATGCTAATGTGGAGTATTTTAGTAAATATGGGAAATGCACAGTGTGCAAAATGGACAACACGGATAAGAATTATTGTCAACCATGTCAAGCAAAAATTTTCGAGGAAAAATTCTGCAAATGGAGTAGTGGTAACTATCAAATTAACGAAATTATACGGTCTTCCCAACGCAAAGCTACAAAAAATGGTGGCTTTTTTGAATGGATTCCATTTCACAAGTTTTCCAACATCCAAAAAATTGGTAAAGGTGGTTTTGCATCGGTGTACAAAGCTACATGGTATAATTCTAGATTTTGTTATTGGAATTTGGTAACGAAGGAAGCATTCAGAGTTGGTTCACCTTCGACAGACGTTGCATTAAAAAGTTACGATAAATTAACGGATCTTCTAGCTGAGGTTAGTCCAAAATTTATGTTTCGTTAAAATTATGTCACTACCATTGCGCATTTTCTTTATTAGTTAGAAGCATATGACAATAATAGAAATTTAAAAACATTACCTTGCTACGGTGTCACACGAGGTGACATTCTAGATAATAATTCCGATGTCTTGCAGTTTTTCGATGGTAATTATGTTGTTCATTGTCTCAAGTGTCGTTCAAAATTTTATCAACCCAAGTCTGCTGATCTCGAGGATCATATCGCATTGGATTGCCCCGAGCAAGAAAAAGACATTATCCAATTATATAATCAGAAGAGAATAGAAAAATATAATTCCGGTGTCTGGCAGTATTTCAAAGAGATTCAGTGTGAAGATGGTTTTCGATTGATCTATTGTCTTAAGTGTGATTGGAATTCATACGAACCTAAGACCGGTGATCTTGAAGAGCATATGGCATTGAATTGCCCCAACCAGGAAAAAGATGTAATTCGATTTTATTCTGAGGGTCAAACAGAAAAATACTTATTAGTTCTTGATCTTGCGGAATGCGATTTACGAACTTATATAAGTGATAACTTCGTTCGAATTACATGGGTACAAAGAATCGGTTTGGTTAAATATTTAGCCCAAGACATCAAAGAGATGCATGAAAGAAAACTTGTACATCAAGATTTGCATCCAGGAAATGTGCTAATTACGTATGACTTCTCGCATATCACTGACCTTGGACGTGCCATGATAATAAATGAGACAGAATTAGAATCAAGTGAAGAAGTCATTGGTGTGATGCCATATATAGCTCCTGAAGTTCTTATGGGGTTACCATTTAGTTTCTCAGTTGATATATATAGCTTTGCAATAATACTTTGGCAAGTTACTTCGGGGATTTCTCCGTTTACAGAGGAAGCACATGATAAGTATCTGGCGCTTAAAATCTGTCGTGGTTTTCGTCCAAAAATTATTGAAGGAACGCCTCCCAGTTACTCTAAATTAATGGAGCAATGTTGGCATGAAGATCCAAAAAAGCGGCCAACTATGCAGGAAATTGTCGATATAATAGAAGGGTGGTTAGAATATGGTGATGAAGCAATAAATCCTGAGTTTAGAGACCAATTCGATGTTGCTGAAGAGATTCGACAAAAATTAGCATCTTCATATCGTGCAGAAGCGAAAACTCATCAGCTTGCAATATATAGTAGCCAAACACTCCCCACAAAATTTTTGAAAGGTAAAGTAGCACAGGCTTCCATAGTTGAAAATGAAAATTTATAATTTCATAAAAATATTTTGGCTATTTTCAGAAATATTAGAAATGGATGATACTCCAATGACTGATCAGAATAAATGGGAAAAGTGGTTTGAAGTAAAGAAAAAAAGGGGCAATATCAAAGAAATATTGCTTGAAGATTTTAAAGGATTGCCTCAAGAAAATAAAATGAAAGGCGGAATGAGGTCCCTTCGTATTGCAAATCGGGGACCAATTAAGGTAGTCATTAAAAATACCAATACGAGAGTACCAAATCAATCTGTTCGATTTCGACACTTTATTTATGAAGTAAGTAATTCAAATATTAAAAATATACACCCATTAAATAAAACGCAAATTTTATCTAAATAATTTTCAGATTTTCTTGCATTATCAATGTAGTGGATCCGAAAACGTGATACAATTGTTAGGATTTACAAGAGGTATTTAAATATTTCTTTATAAACCTTTCGTATAATTTGTATTCATTTTATATTTTTTTTCTTCTGAATAGATAACGGTGAGCATTTAGTTGTCATGGAATGGGCAGATGACGGCAACTTAGAAGAATATATCGATCACAAATTTCAATCTTTAGAATGGGCAGCCAAAATAAAATTAGCCAAGGGCATCGCAGCAGGTATCAAATGCCTCCATGATAATCACATACTTCATCGAGATCTAGTAAGTATTTTAATATCATTAATTAACCCCCTCTAATCTTTCTTTGTCGGCATGCAGCTGATCATTTCTAATAAAGTTTATGATTAGCGTTAGTCATCT